GGAGGGACGACGACGAGACGCCGACGACGGACGACGACGACGAGGGAGGAGGAAGGACGACCACGGCGACAACGACGACGGAAACGACGACGACGCCACAGAGGACGACGACGACGGCGAGGAAACAGAGGACGACGACGGCGATTACGACGACGACGACGCAAGAGCGCGTGCGCACGCTTTTGTTGAACATCCGTGAAACCTTGTGTTTTTGTATGTGTTTCGGACATTCGATTTTTAAGTCTTTCCGAACCGATTTCGATTCCGGCGAAACCGAAGGTTTTTGAAGGATTTCGGCATGCGCGCGCGACGATGCGCGCGCGCATTTAATCACATTTTGTTGCAGGGGATTCTCGCGACAGCACGCGCGCAAGGGCGCTCAACAGATTTCGACACGTGCGCGCGCGAAGCCCGTTTGGTAGTATTTATTGAAAAGCTCCCTTCCCTTAAGATTTCCAGAAACTTGCGCGCAATCTTTTTTTCGAAAATCAGTGTTGCGAAACCGTGTCTTCGTATGTTTTTTGGAAACCCGATTTTGAGATCTTTCCGAAAACACAGGTTTGACTGATTTCGGCATGCGCGCGCGACGACGCGCGCGCGTGCACTCCGTTGTTTGTTTTGTGCGAGGGATTCTTGAACACTTATGAGTTTTGATCAACGAGATTGCGCGCGCAGTTTTTGGGCAGAGGATGGCGGGTGGGGTCGATACGGGATAATATGGGTTCACAGGTAGGATGGACATGGTGTCGGCATCCGATGTTTTTTGCATTGTTCCCCGGGGGATCTTTAGCCCGGGGGGGAGGGTGGTAGAGCCTACTTTTTATGAAAAGAGAACTCATTTGCCAAATCTGAAGCTTTCAACTCCAATGCGCAATCATCCCACCCACCCGCCCGCAAATTGGTTGGAAGAACCATTCGGGAGCGATTGCGATGAGTGCTGGGTGCTGGCTGTCTGCGGCCGCGCTAGCCCAGGCATGCTCGCGCGCGCAGCGGCCAGATAGTTTGGCGCGGCCGACGCGAAAGCGGTGTCGCTGACCGCTCGGCTCATCCCAGCGGGCACTTCAGTGCGATTCGGCGACTTGGGCGGGCGCGGTATCATTGCAACGTCGACAAAGGTAGGCACGATGATGATAGTAGCGGTGCTGGCGACGATGCTGACAACGACGACGGGGCAGCCAGTGACGGCGCCGATGCTGATCACGCCGACGACGATGACGGCGTCTTCAAGTCGGTGGTTAAGTTTTTGGAAGGAGTTCGAAATGCGCGCGTGGCAGACGCGCGAGACTGGCGGGCATGGTGTTATTTGACACGGATCGTGCCCCCCCAGCACGCGCGCAAAGACGTTCGAACGATTTCGACACGCGCGCGCGAAGCCCGTTTAGTAGCACGTTATGAGCATATTGGAAACCGAATGGTTTTCTTCAGAATTCGCAGGAGCGCGCGCGCACGCTTCTGTTGAAAATCAGTGTTGAGAAACCTTCCTTTTTTATATATAGCAAGAACTCGATTTTGAAATCCTTCCGACACCTAGATCTTTGAAGGATTTCGGCATGCGCGCGCGACGACGCGCGCGGGCGCACTCCGTCGTTTTTGATGTTGTGAGGGGCTTGGGGAAATTTATGAGTTTTGATAAACGAGTGCGCGCATGATTTGTTGCAAGGAAGCCGAGGGGGGACCGGAACCAGTCTTGCTGGGATCGTATGAGTTCGCATGTAGGCTGGACATTGGATAGAAAGTCCGGGGGGGGGGGAGGGTGGTAGAATTTATTTGTTATTTAGAAACGATAATATGCGTAGTGCAAACTATGTGGTGCTATCTCCGGTGTGCAGTAAACGCAGCGCAATACATGTGGTGCAAACGATGTTGGTGTAGCATGTGCTGTGCAATCTGCGTTGTGCAATCTATGTGGTGAAAGTTCGTTTGCGCAATCGATAAATGTCTAAACATGTAAAGTCATATATGTACACGGTACCATAAACATGGATAAGTTTCATACTAGTAGTATGTGTTGTGCGATGAATGTTGTAGAACCCTTGTGGTGCGATCTGGTTACTGCAATGCACAGTTGGAACTCGCAGTTGTCAGCTCCACTGCTCGCGAAACCATCCCACCCTCCCACCCGCGACTTTGTTTTGCAACGTACAAGAGGCGGCGATTGCGATGAGTGTTTGGTGTTGGCTGGTGCGTCCTGCGGCAGCGCTAGCCCGCTAGCCCGCGCATTGTCGCGGGCGCAGCGGCCAGCTAATTTGGCGCGACCGACGCGGCCGCGGTGGCGCGGACCTTTGCGCACTTCCCAGTTGGCACCTCAGTGCGAGTCGGCCGCATGGGCAGGTTCGGTATTTTGAAAACGTCGACAACGGTAGAAACGATGATGATAGTAGCTAAGATGGCGACGATGAGAACAACGGCGACGGCATGGCCAGTGACGGCGCCGATGCTGATCACGCCGACGACGATGACAGCGTCATCGCGTTGTTGATGAAGGTTCTGGAAGGAGTTCGACATGCGCGCGCGGCCGACGCGCGAGGACACGGATCGTGCCCCCCCAGCGCGCGCCCTAGGGCATTCGAGTGCTGTCCACATGCGGCGCAAGAGGCCGCGCGCAACGACACGCGCGTGTGCATTTCGTCACGTTTCTTGTACGGGCTTCTTGGACATGTATAACTTCTGATAAACAAATGTGGTCGCACAGCTTTCTTGCCGAAGATGACGGGGGGAATCGCTACCGGTTTGGTTGGGGTGATACGGAGTAATATTTAGGATGGGCGATGGGGCAGAATCATACGCAAAATGAAATATGAACAGGGGGCAGTTAAATCTGGGGTGGGTAGGTCCGAATATTCTCCCAGAGAAGGGAATACATGTGGTGCACAATCTATGTTGCGCGATGTGGCAACGAGTCGGCGACGGGGCGGCGACGGCGACAGCATAACCGCTAGACGCTAGACTGAGACTGCGCCCCGGTACCGGCGACGGGCGGCGATAAGGCGGCGACGGGGCGGCGACGCCGACAACATAGCCGCTAGACCCCCACACTGGCCCAGACCACGGGCCGCGACGAGGCGGCGACGGGGCGGCGACGGTGATTACATAGCCGCCAATCCGCCACACCAGCCCACACGACGGGCGGCGACGGTGCGGCGACGGTGCGGCGACGGCGACAACATAGCTACCAGACCTCCACACCAGCCTAGTTCCTTAGAACAGAAGTAGGAACCCCTGAATGCAAGTAGTGTGTATGGAACCACAGGAAATCAATGAGTTTGGCCTTTTAGGGACTTTATGGGGGTGCTCTTGGGGCCACCTCGGAGTTGCTGTGGGGGCCTCTTTGGCCGTCTTGAGGCCATCTTGGGCATCCGGAAGCGACCATGAGGTGAGTCGGGGCTGTTTCAGGCTGTCTTCGCGGCCTCCTCGGTCCCTCCGGGCCAGTCTTGGAACACACGCGAAACACCCCAAAAGCTCCCGGAAATGCCTAAGAGCACCCAGGAACGCCCGGGAAACCATATGTTCGGGTCCCTTAGAATACATAATCTTGGCTGCAGCAGCAGCACAGATGCGAGCCTTGTGGCACTCCACTTCGTGCCAAGGGCACGGTGGAGGATCTTGGGAGAGCAATACAGGCGAATCAATCAGAGAATAATGCCATATGTGATGCAGTGCCTGAATTCTCAATCGTAATGCCAAACAGGAGGCCTTGACTCTGGTAAGGCTCAGAGTATCCCACATATCCATATATATAGGTATGTATATATACCTATATATATACACAAGTGGCACGTGTGTGCCCAGGCTCATACAACAAGCTGAAGGGGCGTTTGAAGCAGGAGTGACATGCAACAGCGAAGTCGCACTCGAGCGCAAGTGAGGTTGCCACACCTTGCGATGTGTGTACCAGGGCCCCCCAGGAAGCCTCAGGAGGCCCGACTTGGATACCAGAAGAGGCTCCAGGAGGCCCCAGGATTGTGAGTGTTGTGTGTGTGTGATGTGTGCTTTGTGTGGTGCGTGCTTTTTGTGTGTTGTCGGTGTTGCGTGTGTGTGTGTGTGTGTGTGTGTGTGTGTGTGTGTATGTTATGTTTGTCTAGCGTGTGATGTGTTGGGCGTGATTTGTGTCTCTGTGTGTGCATGTAGTTCTGAAGCCCCAGGAGGCCCCAGGCGGCCTCAGCAGGCCCAGGAGAACTCCAGGAGGCTCCGAGGCGGGGTCTGGGGTACCAGGAGGCCCCCCCCAGGAGGCTCCGAGGAGGGGTCTGGGGCTCGATTTTGGGAGGATGTCTCAGGCGAAACCGCCATTCTCTGAGAATCGGGGTCAAAATTATTGAAATTACCATGTGTTTTTGAAGGTTTTATGTTAAAATGTTGAAATTCCTATGTGTTTTTGGACCTCTCCTTCACGATCTGCGTGAGGGGTGCCACCGATTTTCAGAAATTCGAGCATGTCCCGAGCGAAACGGCCGGGAAAATCGAAGACGCACGCACGCACGGACGCACGGACGCATTAATCCCCTCTGAGCTCTACTCCCTCGGAGAGGTGCGTATGAGAATACAGATATATATATATATATATATATATATATATATATATAGATATCAGCCATACGCGGATACATGTATGGGTTGGTTTACAGCGATAGTAAACTCATCAAATACGGTGGTGGAGCCCATGGACAAGGTCGGGAGCGTGAGCCGATAGGGTCCTCGCAACACCAGCGTTTACGAAATGGCGATGGCTACAGGATGCAGAGCGTAATTGATCATACTCCTCGATGTTGGGCATCTAAAACATTGCCATTCCACATTCGCGTGTGCATGTAGACAAACTTGAGTCTTCAACACATTCAAACTGAATGCATTGATCACTTTGGGTAATCTTGTATGCGTGTGTGCATCCGTTGCCTTGGATATGACCGCCGCACTCCGCAGCTTGCAGGCTTTTTTCAGGGCGTCGCCCACGAGCCACGCGATCCTGATTCGCCAGATGTGCACTTTGAAAACCGAAGTCCGAGGATCCAGCCGCGACCGCCAAGGACAAGTACGCGCTCACCTTCTACGCCACCGGCTGCTGCACGACGGAGCGGACGGCAGCCACGGCGTGGTGGGAGACGCAGCGGGAGGACATCGTCCTGGCCGACATGTTCGTCCCGGGCTCGGCCAGGGTCAGGGCCCCTCGGGAGAGGGGTCCGGGGCACCCGGGGCGGCTGCGGCCCGAAGGGCACCCGAGGATCTCCTGGTGAGCGCTACTGAGCTCCTCCTCCTCCTCCTCCTGCTCCTCCTGCTCCTCCTCCTCCTCCTCCTTCTCCCCCTCCTCCTCCTCCTCCTCCTCCTCCTCCTCCTCCTCCTCCTCCTCCTCCTCCTCCTCCCTGGTGCGGGCCAGGGCGGGAGAGCACGCCGCCCAGGGGCGCCTCCCCTCCGCGGGCGGGGGCGACCCGCGGCCATCTGGTATGTGTGTGTGTGTGGTGTGTGTGTGTGTGTGCGTGTGTGTGCGTGTGTGTGTGCGTGTGTGTGTGTGTGTGTGCGCATCGCACGCGTATTGGTGTCGGGAGGGGAGCGGTGGCGGGTCGCGGCGGGCGAGGTGGTAGAAGTGCGGCGCCCCCATCCCGGTTGGCCGCCAGGGCTTGGTGCGGTTTCCGCCTCCTGCGGCCCTTTGGAGTGGAGCCGGTTGTCGGGATGCAGTTTAGAGGTCGACCCCTTGAGCGGTTCTCGTGCCCGAAATGCAGGCGGTTCGTTATGAGATCCCTCCGATCTCCTTTGTGTGAGTTATTTCCACGAGGATCCGGATGCCCGTCGAGTCGGCCCAAAGTAAGGAGAAATCTTTGGACTTGCGCGACAGCATGCTATCAGGTGTCCTCAGTGGAACTTGGGGGATGATCGTGTGGCGCTTCCTCGACATGTCCATCCATGCGGCGCCGTACGCCACAAGATGGATTCAACTTTCGGAGTGGGATCGGATCGGAGGGCGGCGCTTATGGGCGACCCGTTTTCCTACGGAGCGCCCGTTCCGCGTTTCGGAGGCATCACAGGTCTTCGAGGGGCTAGGCAAAGACGCAAGGAATGTCGGCTGTGTCGCATTGAGCTCCCAACTGCGATGAATCAAGCGTCTCTGATGCAGTTTGGGCACGGCTGTTGTCCAGTGCGGCGTCCGAGCCTACGTGCAGCATCCTCGTCAAGAGAGATTACCTGGGGAGGTGAAGCTCAGAGGATGAATTGCCTACCCAGGAATTGGGCCTGTCTGCCGCTCTGGCGGCTGTATAGCCGCCGTCGCCGTCCGCCGCGTCGCCGCCCGTCGTCTAGGCCTGTGTGCCGCTCTGGTGGCTCTGTAGCCGCCGTCGCCACCCTGTCGCCGCCTCGTCGCCGCCCGTCGTCTGGGCCAGTCTGCCGCTCTGGCGGCTATGTTGCCGCCGTCGCCGCCCCGTCGCCGCTCGTCGCCGCTGTTAGATTGCACCAAGAACATTGCACAGCGTAGGTTGCACCGCATGCATTGGTTCTCCTTTCTAACAAGAGAATAGACTCTACCCCCCCCCGGCGTTATCGGCCCCCTTTCGGGTATGTAAATCATATTTGGTTATAACCACATGTCCATCCTAAATATGAATTTACACTAACCCAGGGGGGGCCGGTATCGACCCCTTTCGAGGTTCCCTTGTCAGCAACGATACTCGGGGACATCTTTTGTTCTAACATAGCACTTTTTCGCAAATCCCTTGCAAGCAATTGGACGCAGTGCACACGCGCGCGCGCCGTCGCGCGCGCATGCCGAAATCCTCCAAAAATCTTAGGTGTCGGAAGGATGTCGCAATCGAGTTCCCAAAAAACATACATAAACACAGGGTTTCGCAACACTGATTTGCTACAAAAGCTTACGCGCGAGCTCTTGCGGAATCTTAAGAAAACCATAGGTTTATTCAAGATTTTTACAAAATGCTACCAAACGGGCTTCGCGCGCGCATGTCGAAATCTGTCGAACGCCCTTGCGCGTGTGCCGTCGCTAAAATCCTCCCCCAAAAATGGGACGAAGTGCAGACGCGCGCGTCGTCGCGCGCGTATGCCGAAATCCTTCAAAACCCATTGGTTTCGGAAGGATTTCAACATCGTGCGTCCAAAAAACCTACAAAAACACAAGGTTTCGCAACACGGATTTTCAACAAAAGCGTGCGCGCGCGCTCTTGCGTCGTCGTCGTCGTCGTCGTCGTCGTCGCCGTCCTCCATCCTCCCGCGTCGTCCTCGTCGTCGTCGCCTACGTCGTCCTCTGTCTTTCCCCGTGTTCGTCGTCGTCGTCCTCTTTGGCGTCGTGGTCGTTTCCGTCGTCGTTGTCGCCGTGGTCGTCCTTCCTCCTCCTCCTGCCTCGTCGACGTCGTCGTCCGTCGTCGGCGTCTCGTCGTCGTCCCTCCTATTTCGTCGCCGTCGTCGTCGTCGTCGTTGTCGTCGTCGTCTTCCCTCCTCCCTCGTTGTTGTCCTCGTCGGCGTCGCCGTCCATCCTTCTTCTTCGTCGTTCGCGTCGTCGCCGTCCTCCCTCCTCCCTCGTCGTTGTCGTTGTCGTCGTTGTCGCCGTCGTCGTCTTCCCTCCTCCCTCGTCGTCGTCTTCGTTGGCGACGTCGTCGTCGTCTTCGTCGTCGTCGTTGGCGTCGGCGTCGTCGTCGTCTTCGTCGTCGTCGACGTCGGCGTCGTCGTTGTCGCCGCCGTCGTCGTCGTCGTCGTCGTCGTCGTCGGCGTCGTTGACGCCGTCGTCGTCGTCATCGGTGTCGTTGTCCTCGTCGTCTGCGTCGTCATCGTCGTCGTCGTTGTCATCGTCGTCGTCGTCGTCGTCGGCGTCGGCGTCGTCGGCGTCGGCGTCGGTGTCGTCGTCGTCGTCGTCGTTGTCGGCGTCCTCGAAGTCGTTGGAGACGTCGTCGGTGTCGTCGTAGTCGTTGTCGGCGTCGTCGTCGTCGTCGTTGTCGCTGTCGTCGTCGGCGTCGCTGTCGTTGTCAAGTGCCATTTGGTACCCACCGTCACGGTCTTAAGAGATTTTGCAAACCAAGTTGCGGGTGGGTGGGTGGGATGATTGCGCGAGCAGTGGAGTTGACAACTTCAAGTTCGTCAAGTGAATTGCTCAACGTAGATTGCACCACCTACAACGCGCAACATATATTGCAACATATTGTCAGTACCACGTACATCGCACCTCACATTCGGCATAACCTAGCATTGCTCCACATCGGTTGCAGCACACGAAGTGCATCGCATAGACTGCACCACATAGATGGCAAACATCGACTGCGCAACATAGAGACAACCACATGGATTGCACCACACGTATTGCACAGCATAGATTGCCAGACAGAGATTGTGCCGCACATGTTGCACCTCGCATATGGCACAACATATATTGCCCCACCTATATTGCACAACTAGAATTGCACCGCGCATATTGCGCAACATAGTCTGCACATCACTTCTTGCGTCACATAGATGGCACCTCACATCTTAGACCACATTGATTCTGCACCACATATTCTGCACCGCATCACAGAGATGCACCACATATTCAGCACCACATAGATTGCACAATATAGTTCGCACCACATACACATTGTTCATTTGTACATATTAGAAAGTTCTTTGATTTTTGGGGGTGGGGCAAGATCCTTTCATTTCTAATTGTTCTATGCAGGGCCTCTTCCTGGCCACTAGGGGGCCAGGAACAATTTGAAACGAGCACACTTACAAATGAGCACGATTAAAAATGAACGACGTGTACGTTGCACAATATATTATGCACCGCATCTACTGTACAACATAGATTGCTCGATCTACATTGCACAATCTGTTGTGCATCACATAAATCGCACCACATCCTTGCATCACATAGAGGCACGATATATCTTGCACCACGTAGAGTGCACCACATATATTGCACAACCTAGATTGCACAACGTACAGTGCTCCGCAAAGTTCTCTCAATCTATATCGCCATAAACACACTGTTTTGGATCCACGCTGTCTGACATTTGTTGTGTCACTGATTCTCCGAAGCCCAACACATAGTGTTGCCAAAGCTTGTTTGCATTTGCACCCCCTCAGAGCTATGTTGGATCATGTCACTGGCTCCAGCCACGGCCGCCCCAATCCAGTCCACGCGCCCCGACATCGGGTGCCCCCACCAAATTTTCTAGGCATGTTCGCTGCCGGACTGGGCCACACAGTGCTCCACAAGAGCGACAGCATCGCAGTGGCCTGCGACATCATTGGCCATGATTCTTGCGACCTCGCAGCGTTCGTCGCGGGTCTTATTTGTGCCGTGTTGGCTTCAGCATGCAGCTGGCCTTGATGTCAGCATGCAGTGCTGCCCGGGGAAGCGATGGCACCATTGCGGCCTGCGGCCACGATGGTGCTAGTCAATGCGACCATCTAGCGCTGGTCGCGGGGCTGACCTACGCAGCTGGTTGATTTGCAGTCATTCGGTCGGTGATTTTGAAGCGATGCCGAGGTGTTTCAGCTGTGACTGTTATGAAACATGTTCGTAGGCATTGAGGATTTCTCGGGGCGGACCCTCAACCCATCCGTTGAGACATTGTGAGAGTACCGTTTTGCAAGAACACCAGAAGGCGCCCGTTGCAATCTGTCCAGGTGTTTGATTACGTGGTGCCCCCTCACCTCAGCGTCATTCTGTCCCACCGACAGCTCGTTGTCTCTGGTCTCTTCCATCCGATGGAGTGGTCCCTTGCGCCCCGTGGTGCCATTTTTCTGGCACCCGACTGAAGAAGCTCTACTGGGCGGCGCAAGACCCAGTCAGGCTGCCCGGGCAAGCCCTGTCGCCTCCCGCGCGTGCCTTGTCCCTTCTCCTTCCCTGCCGCCCCCCTTCCCCTCCCGCTCCCTTACTCTCGCGGTGTCCTGGAGACTGGCATGTTTAGCGCGCGTGCCGCCCTGCTTGGGTCGCCTCAGGGCGACGGCAGACTCGTTCGTTCGTTCGTTCGTTCGTTCGTTCCCGTCCCCTGGATTCTTCCCCTTTCCCTCCTCTTGTCCATCATCCCCTCCCCTCGTCTCAGGGACGCCCAGGTGGCATCGGGGGACCTCGCCGCATCGCCGACGCACCGGCGATACGGCGCGATCCAGAACACGATTCTTAGGCTTACGCCACACCGCCGACCCCTTGTTTATGCCA